AAAGCGATAAAAGGGCAGGGCTAAAAAAGGTACCCGTTTTCTGTATCCAGGCATATAAATGGAATAATGAGGGGAAGGTGAAAATATAGTAGATTAAAGATGCCAATGCAAGATGAAAAATATGGAAAATCAAAGCCTTAAGAGGCTTTTGGAGCAAAGAGCGATCAGGAGCTAAGGGGTAGGTGGACTGTAGGCGACAGTTACATATCCCTGACGTCAACAAAAACTGTCATCCATTGTGATAAGCTGCTTCATTTTGACCTGAAAAAAAAGTCTAACCTGGACCAAGAAAAGAAAAGGCTTGATTCCTTTTAAAATCTCCTACAGGACAAAGGTTAATAAGGTTCTTCATTTTGAAGCAAGTCCAGATCAAATTTCCTTCTAGAATTGAAATAATAAAAAAAAAAAAAATTTTTTGGATGAAATTCAGATTTGAGATGCACACAAATGAAACTGAAGACAATGTTCCTCATGTTTCTTTATTCTTGAACAACCATTTCAATGCGCTGCAAAGCAACGTCTTTTTAACAAGCTTTTCTCTCTCTGATCAACGTTTGTTTTTCTATATAACCTGGCTCATACTGTTACTGTCTTATCCCTCCAGTCTTTTATCTTGGACTTTAATGACTCAGTTGGTAGTTGTCACGGAAACAGCAAAAATAGTGTCACCATAACCAAGCGTCGCATGGAGAGCTATTAATGGAGAATATGATTCTTTCATGTTGAGGACCCCATATTTAGACCAGTTTGCCATGAGTAATACTAAAGTTGGCTAATTTAAAATATTTTAAGTCAGTGGTAAAATAGTTTCTTAAACAGAGATAAATCTGTATATGCTAAAATAAAGCTGTTTGAGTAATCATCAAACTTGAACCTAACTGAAAGTCTATGGGGAAAAACTGAAGGCAGAGTGTAACGACGAGGACCATGAAACTATGGATGGATCGGGATTAATCTATTATTGAAATAACTGTCAACTAATTTAATCGTAAACTGAAGTATAGAGACTAAAACATGCCTTTTATTATTATTAAAGTATGCCTGATTCTGATTCTCAAAAAAAAAAAAGTAAAACGCTTGGCATTTAAGAAAAAAACTTTTTTTTGTCTATCAATATGCTCTTTCTAGAACTCCATAAGTGGAAAAGTTTGTTTCACCTGGCTTGATTTCATAAAAAGTCTTTAAAGAGCCTTTGGCGATCCGATTATTTATTTATTTATTGATTAATTGACAGCTGGATTATTGAAAAAATAATTGACTAATTGAGTAAATTATTTGCAAAATAATCGTTAGTTGCAGCTGCAACTAATCAATCCATGCAAAACATTTATCTAAATAGTTCACACAGTACAAAAAAAACAATGTGCATGAATTTATCTGGGCTAATTTTTTTCTTGTTTTTGGTGGGTGTCTGATAATTGTATGTACATTAAGCTCTTTCAGAAATATCCATCCATTTTTTGACAAGCTTTATCCCAAGCGGGCTTGCGAGGGGTGCTGGTACCTATCTCCAGCTGTCTACGGGCAGCAGGCAGGGTGCACCCTGGACAGGTCACAAGTCTATCACAGGGCAACACAGAGACAAACAGGACAAACAACCATTCACACACACACACTCACACCTAAGGAGAATTTAGAGAAGCCAATTAACCTAACAGTCATATTTTTGGACTGTGGGAGGAAACCGGAGTACCTGGAGAAAACCCAAGCATGCTCAGGGAGAACATGCAAACTCTATGCAGAAAGACCCCAGGCTGGGAATCGAACCTGAAACCATCTTGCTGCAAGGCAGCAGTGCTACCCAATGCCCCATTGAGCAGCCCCCTTTAGAAATATATTTAATAATAAAAATTTTACATTGTCATTACATTTCCTTCTAATCATGTGTTTGCACTGGAAGCAAATAGTAACTTTCCACAAAGTCAACACCAATATGATGACAAAGAGTGTACATTAAGTGTCTAGCATGTAAACCTCATAATAAATCTTACCATGATTGGGGAAAGCCGACGGGATTTAGAGGGAGCTTCTTCGTAGGGCCTCTCTGCTAGAGATGCAATGATCCTCTTCCTGTGGCCTAAGGGCCCAACTTTTATAACCTGGAAGAAATAACAGTCTATAAATCTCCATTTCAGGGTCACCTGAATATCTCATGCAGAAAGATTTTGCCAGACAAAGCTAAGAGAGACACATCCAAAAATCACATTGGCAAACAGAATGGCAGGCGCCCTTCACTAGGAAGCAAACACAAGTGACTTTTGTCAATAATTTAACATCAATCTGTTTTGCCGTGAGCCTAAAATACAACACTGACTCTCTACAATTCACAAGCCATTTTTAGACGATGAGCTACAAAAAGAAAGAGGACCCTACAGGCTCAGAGGAGTCGTCCGTCCGTCTGTCTGTCTGTCTGTCTGTCTGTCTGTCTGTCTGTCTGTCTGTCTGTCCCATCTAATGTCAGAAAGTCTTGCAGGATAATGCAAATGTTCATGTAGTCAAATCTCATCACCTTAATACAACGTATTTACATAATTGGCTATTAACATTCATGCTCATTCTCGAAGGGTGGACGTTGAGTGATTAATGTAACATTTGCAATTATGTTTCTGGTACAAAATCTTCCAGAACAAGCTCATATAATTCTTTGTCTCATGGGTTGAATTAACAAAAAGCACAGGAAGCCAAAGCTCTGTGCATCATATTTCTGGTTATGTTTTTATCATGACCATCATCATCCACAAAAAAGTTCACCAACATCTGTGAATGCTTAGAATCTTGGACTTATTTTGGAAATGCAGCCCATAGATCATCAAGAGGCCCAGTGCTATTTGCTGTAAAATGCTGAAGAGGATGTAGGAAATGTAATGGGCAAAGAGATTTCTGCCAAGATGCTCAGAGGCAGTTCTTTCTGCTCTGCTCGCTGAGAGTAATGTGCCTCACACTCAGACCCGCATCTTTCTTCATCGCAGTCTGCTGGACACCATCTCTCACTGCATTGGCAGCGAGCTCTGCTGCTGCTACTGCAGCTCTTTTGGCTCTTTCACCACCACTGCCTTTTCATTTACTGCAATCAGGCATAAGTACAATAGCGTCAAAGACACTCATCCTCAGTTTTTTCTGTTAACATCTAATCACCTAGTGTCATGGTTTGATTTAATTAAAGACTAGATAAAAAGGTTATCTGGTACTTACAGAATGGGTCTAAAAAAATCTTTCTAACATCTTTTTCAGTTTACGACAGAGTACTAGGGCCAGGCTAGAGATTTTTTTTTCTATTTCGAGAATAAAGTCGTTACATTATGAGAATAAAGTCGTTACATTATGAGAATAAAGT